GATAGCTATTTTAAACCATTTCCCTGACATTCCTTTAAAAAAAATATTTATTTATTTATTTATTTATTTGCATTCCTGAGTTACCCTGCAATATCTATCTTTAGGTTGGTTAGTATTACTGTTAGTGTTTTTTCAAACTTTATTGGCTTTTTCACGTAGTAAGAGACACATTTTCCATTGTAATCTACAAGTTGCTGTGGTGTACCATTGACTCACTTCCTACTTATGGTGACCCATGTGACCGAGTAGGAGTTTCTTGGCTGTAACCTTATGGAAGCAGATTTCTAAAAGACAACTGCCTTTTATTTTATCTCCCTGTTTCCTTTTTTATATGTTGTCTCGTAGTTTTTCTCACCCTTAATTTCTTTCCTCTCCCTTTTTCTCCCTGGCCTAGTATTTTGTTTTCATTAAAAGAACGGAAATAGTTTCCAAAATTCATTTTAAATATAAGATTTCTGGCTTGCAAGGTTGAAGCGTATGGAAATTGTGGTGAAGGCAGATGGAAGTAGTGTGTTCTTAAGAGGAAGAAAAAACTGGAAACAATTTACTGCCTCCCAGGCCAACTTGCACTCAGATTGTAGAAATAGATACATTTTTTTTTTTTACAAATCAAAAGCACAGAAATGACATTTAAAATTGCTATAAATTTTGCTAATGCATTTTGCTATGAGTCAGAACTGACTCGAAGGCACTAAACAAAAACAGCAACCCCTAGTATAGAGACTTGTTGTTGTTGTTAAATGCCGTTGAGTCAATTCCATCTCCTGGTGACCCTGTCTAGGGTTTCCAAGGAACGGCTGGTGAAAGTGAACCTTGTGGTGCAAACGGACATTGTGGTCCCATGCTTTATTGCAGAGCGCTACGTCAGGACAGAGACTAGAGACCTAAATCTAGTCCATTCTCAGGTCTCTCCTCTCCAGTAAAAGGAACCAACAAATCAATATTTATGACATTCTAGCCAGAGTCTAGGTTAGTAATGATTAACCTATAATCTGCCACGTTCCCAATTGCTGCTTATTTCCATTAATAAGCCCTTAAATGTTCATTCATAGCTGACTCAAAACAAGTCTATTTTAGGATTCAACACTGTGGAGGGAGTTTTCTGACAAAGGTAATTCCTTTATGCTGCTAGTGGCCCTGGGTGCTGTCATCATAGTGTATAAATGGACAAAGTCCTGTCAGCCCATGGGTTAGTCATGAGGTGAGTGTTAGATGTACTAGCTGTAGTGTTAGATGTACTCATTGTAGTGTTAGATGTACT